ATGGAAGCCCCTGCCTCCCGCCTCTGCTCGCTTATCGGCTTGTCAGAGCAGCCGGGAGGGAAAGCAGAGCAGCCTGGGGCTCAGCCGGAGCCTGGGAACCGCCAGCAAAGAGCACGACCCCGACCCCGGCCTTCCTGCCCCTTCCCGCATCGCTCGGCTGCGGTCCTGCACGGCCAGCTGATGCCCAGCCGGCATTGCTCTGCTCAGCGCCTGCTTCCCCCCGGCTAAGGAGATTAAAAAAACAGCTTGAGGCTCCCGAATATTTCGCAGTGCCTCCGAGTGGGCTGCCCGAAGCCACGGCAGCGCTTTCCGCTGCGCAAGAGCCATTCGTTTGTATCCTCCAAAGCCACATTGAGAGCTCACCTGACTGACCCGGAATATCCGTAGCGGGCGGCGGGCTCCCAGCCGAGGAGGCAAAAAGTCCTGATCTCACAGCATGGAGGGGATTAACCCTGTGGGCCCGTCATGGGGACCCCGTCCCCTGCATCTCTGCCAGGGCTTATGGGGTGGGAGAAGCCCCGGGCTGTGTCGCTCCCTCTCTCCACCACCAAAAGCCCGGCCAAAACCCATCGTGTCAATCAAACCAGTGTGGGGGGGTGAGGTGCCAGCCCGAGGAAGAAGCAGCCCCGACTCACCGATGATGGCATGGACTCGGACGGAGAGCTGCGTGCGCAGGATCAGGGTCGGCCGTCTCCCCTTCCTAGGGTGGGGGGAAAACTCCGCGTGAGCACCAGCAGCAGGACCACTGTGACCCCCTCGACGCTCAAACGCACGTGGGGTCCCCGTGCCCCATCCCCCAGAGGGCTCGGGCACCCTGCATGCCTCACCTAACCTCCTCGTAGAAACCCTCCAGCTCATCCTTCTGCTCCAGCAGGGACAAGTCGAGGTCCAGGTAGTGTCCGGAGGGTGAGACCTGCAGCGTGCAGTCCTCCAGCTGGGGATGCAGACAGCCCGGCTGAGCCCCTGTGCCCACCACAGCCCCCTCGGGCTCCCGGAGGACGCAGCACCCCGGGGTGGCCCTCCCGCCCGCTCCGAACCCCCAGGCAGCCCCACCACGCAGGCCCCTTGAGGGAGAAACACGGAGCCCCAGGCTGGGGAAAGGCAGAGGGAGGGCGGCTCCGCTGCCGCTGGGCTCCTGGGCAATCCCTTGGGCGGGAGCCATGGCCAGAGGCTGATCCACTCCCTGGGGCTCCCCTTAGTCATCCGGGGTGCGATCGGGCAGGATCCCTCCCAGGGCTGGTGCCTCCGCCCGCGGGGACTGGGTCTGCGGGAAGTGCCAAGGCACCCAGCCTGGGCAGGGACACCCCAAACCAGGGCAATTCCCACGGGGACGTGCCCTGGCTGCAGGCTCTGGCTCAGCCCGCAGCCACGTGGCATCTTCCAGCAGGAGGGGAAAAGCACAACCCAAGGCAAGGCTCGGTGAGGGCATCTCCCCCAAAAGTCCACGTGCAGCACCCGCAGTGCACCCCAGCAACGGGGCACGGCGCCCACAAAGCCACCTGGGACCCAGCAGCACCTGGGCAGCGCTCCTGGGCGGGCGAGCTCCCCATGGGACAGAGCACTTTGCCCTCCAGGCATGCGGCACCTTGCCAGCACCCCTGCCACCCCAGCGCACCTGATCCTGTTCCCAAAGCATCTGCAGCCCCCCTCTCTCCTAGCTCACCCCAGTTCCTCGGAACTGATGCTCCTTCCCAAATCCGCAGAGCAGTGCTGCGTAACCAGCTGGGGAGCTGAGGACCGGGGAAAAAAAGCCATTATTTGGTTTGGGATAAAACATCATTATTGGGTTTTACATAAAATCCTGCTCCAGCCACCCTCAGGCAGGCTGGTGACCCACAGCAGCACTGGGCACAGCTCCTGCCTCTCACTGTGGCCGTTTCCCGGGAAAGCCCCATCTCCTCGAGGCAGAAGATGACGCAAGAGCTTGCAACGTGTGACTTCACTGCGAGTGTGACGTTAAAGCCAGAGGGCAAAGAAAAAATGCCACGTGCATTGAAATAATTAATGACCCTGACTAAGCCTCGGGATAACAGGCAACTTGGCAGGGCACTGCTGCTGGGTTGGACACAGTTGTTATGTTGTTGGTGTCCTGCCCCACATCCCACAGTTGCTGGCCATGCCAGCCAGCCATGGCAACGTGCACAAACACAGGCTGCCGACACCGGCTCTGCCTCCGTGGCAGATATTGCTAACGCCAACCCCACACGGGGCTCGCTTGCCAGGGAAAGCTTCAATTTCTGCACAGGAAAAGGGCTATCTTGGGCATCCCTCCGTCCCCTCAGGCACCCCTGCATCCTCCTGGGCATCCTCCTGGGTACCCCCACATCCTTCCGGGCGTGGAAGGACTCTTCTGCATCCTCCAGGGCATCTTCCTGGGCATCCCTGCATCCTCCCGGGCATCCTCCTGGGTATTCCTGCATCCTCCTGGATATCCCGGCATCCTCCTGGACATCCTCCTGGGTACCCCCACATCATTCTGGGTGTGGGAGACCCCTCCTGCATCCTCCCGGGCATCTTCCTGGGCACCCGCACATCCTCCTGGGCATCCTCCTGGGTATCCTCCTGGGCATTCCGGCATCCTCCTGGGTATCCCTGCATCCTCCTGAGTAGCCCCACATCCCCCTGGGTATTCTCCTGGGCATCTTTCTGGGTATTCCTGCATCCTCCTGGATATCCCGGCATCCTCCTGGACATCCTCCTGGGTACCCCCACATCATTCCGGGTGCGGGAGACCCCTCCTGCATCCTCCCAGGCACTCAAACACAGTGAAGCACAACTCACCACTCCAGCATAAAGGCTTTGCCTTCTCTGGGCTGCCAGAGCCCCCGGCAAGACAGAGTCAACATCCCCAGCTCCTGCCGGGGCCGGTGACATGTCCCAGCTGGCGGGGGAGGCGAAGCCCCTGGGACGCAACCCTGCGTGTTTCCCATGCGAGCTTGGCAGCGCTTCCCAGGACGGATGCTCCAAGCGCTGGGCCTGGGTTTGGCTGCGACCCCCCTGGCAAGCACCAGCCCCCCGGGGTGGAGACGGGCTGTCCCAGGCTCACGCTGCCCTGCCAAAAACCCCGGGGCGGCACTTCCGCGCCAGGGAGCCCCGACTGCCCCCCACGGGGTACCGACAGCTCCCGGCGCGGGGCGGCTGCGATCCAGCCATCCCCTGCCTGTAAAACCGTTTTAAAACGAGCTGGGCTTCGAGGGTCGTGGGGACACGCAGGCAAAGCGGAGCTGGGAGAGGAGGCAAGTGCCACGCTCACCCCTCTGGCTCCCAGGAGCCCCAGCCACCCCGCAGCAGCACCGATGTCCTCCATCCACCCTGCTGCCTCAACCTGGGATGCGGGGAAGGCGGAAACCCATGGATCTCCCTGATCCCACCAACACCCAGCAGCTGTGGCCGGCTTCGAAGCTCAGCACGGACACACGTGCCAGGCAAGCGAGCACCCAGGGCGAGCCGGCTCCCCCCAGAGCAGGACCCCGAACCAAGGGGATGCGACGGAGATATCTCCACCCCCGAGACAGAGACATCCCGCACCCACAGCTGCACTCACGCCACCCACCATGGCATCACGCCTTCCTGCTCACCCCTATCACGGCATCCACACGCGGGAGGATGCTCCAAGGCCGGGCAGTGAATACCCTCTTTATCTGGTAGCAGAAGAAACCCTCCCCCCCCCCCCAACACTTTCTTTTTGCAGCAACCACAATTTCCCCACATCGCTGTGGCTCTTCTAGGAAGGCTACAGGGAAACTACAGAAAAAATTATATTATTTGCTCCAGTTGAGGCAGCGCTTGAGCTCAAGGCAGCGCATGAACACGAGGCACTGGTGGGTCAGAAACACCCGGGGCCACAAGCCTCTGCCCACCCTCCAAAATAAATGGGGATTTAAGGTTTGTAGGGCTATGCCGCAGGAGAAACCCCGGCTGGCAACCGAGTGCGTTCACCTCGATTCGGGTTCAGGGCTGAGAGCAGTGTCCATTGCCAGGGCACCTGGCCGCCATCTCCTGCCCGCTCCTGCCTGACAGATGGCAGCACGTGGATGGGAGTGCTGCCATCGCCTCGTCGCGGCAGGGAGAAAAAACCCAACCCCAGGCCAGGAGGGATCGCTGGAGGTCACCCGGAGCCGGCCCAGAACCACACACTCGCTCGCGCACGTCCCTCTGGAAGCTGCTCCGGCTGGGCTTGTTTCTCATTAACAGATCCCTCATTTCTCATCAACAGCGCGAGGACCCGGCAAAGCCACGGCACGAACGCCTGGCCGCAGCTCGCGCCCCGGGATCCGCACGAGGACCGCGCCGGAGCCGGGCAGCACCGGAGGCTGCTGAGCGTCGACGCTCGGCTCCCGGCACCCAGCAAGGAGCCGAG